ATGCAAAACAGCGATGATCACTGGAAAGGATAGTACAATCGCCCTGTGTGCTGTCATGTCATGCACGGCGGCGGAGTTTCGTTGCAGAACAAGACAGATAAAGTTACTTAGTGTTTGTCTCTGGTCCAAACTGGTAATTTTTCATCTTTATATATAATGTTGTTATTTATCCAAAAATGAAGATATATTAGACAAATTAAAGAGTATATATATTATCAGATAATTTTATGTGACGATAATTAGATTTGATTATCTACATATAACTTTCATTTGGAATGGTATATGAGGTTTATTGAATGAAATGTTCATTCTTCATATTAGATATTATGCTGCAACTTTACTCCATCCCAAATATCGATTATTAAAAGCTTGTTTTGCAATTGAAAGTTTTAAATGTTATATTTATGTTCGACAGCAAATACAACTAATTTCAATCGAACTAATAAAATTAAATGAACAGAAAACAAATGAATAGGTGGTAAAAAAGTTGGAAGATAGATAGTTTCGTCGACTGAAATCTGATGATTTTGAGGCTCAAAAAGAAATTGGAGGGAAATCGAATAACTAAAGCAAAGAATATTCTTTTGATGTTAAGAAAAATGACGAACTTAACAAATGTTTAATTACCATCAAACCCGTTATCTTTTTGGAGGATCAGCAGAAACTTATTTTTACGATACCAACTGTTTCTGTACGTGTTGAAAGATAATTTTTAGAATCAGAATCAGTTATTCAAGAAAGACAAACTAGTCTTAGTCTTGAACAATCAGATAATATTCTATTAGTATGATCCATGCAACAGTATGAAAGGCTCTTTTAAGAGTTATATTTTTATTGGTTGTTTTACTCATTATGCCCTTTTATTAATAGCATGCACGTTATTGAAACACCCACTCATCGTTCTGTTTCTCATTTCTGTTGGTGATACTATTCACTGTGTGAATACAACGATAATGATGAAACGTTTTACATTGATTGTTTCGTTTTTTTTTAATCGTTCAATCAGCAGCAAATCTGGCAGATAGGAGTGAGTCGAAAATATTCTCATATCACATGCCATGAATTTTACTCGAGTTGTATGTATTTGAAATTTCATTTCCGAAGGCCTTTGCCTGATTTAAGTAGGTATTTACGGAAGCTTTTTTTCGTTACTCTCGAATACTTTAATACAAACAACTTCAGTTATGAAATAAAAAGCTAAATAATTTGATCTAATCTCTAAAAACATAGACATAATGTTGCACTACAAAATGAGACATCTTTGAGCTTTGAACTTCAATTATGATAATTTTTATTTGCATTATTAAAAAAATGTCTCAGATGAGCTTGACCAAGAGTGTGGATGTGTGCGGTGTTTATGTACGTTTTAATGAAACTTGTACGAAGAGCAAAACGTTCTCAAAAACTCCAAAACAAAGAGTATAGACCTGAACTATTGTCCGTAGGCACGTGTGATAGTCACTATATACTCTTGAAAGTTTCAACGTAAACAAACATGACGTTTTTAAAAATACTCCATTTCCAAATAGACTCGATTACTGCGCTCTCAAATGGCAAATCGCTTACTTTTTTGAAAATTGAATATTTCGAGCAAGATATGTTCATTTTCTTTGAAACTTTTAAAAATATTTAATGATTGACCATCCTGTCTATAAACAAAATTTCAGCTAGACACTCTTTGCTTTGAATTTTTGTAGAAAATGTTTACTCTTTGTAAACAATTTCATTAAAATAATCATAATTTTTCACTTGAAGGGCATAGATACGAATCTTTTTAAAGTTTTGCTAGTGTCATTGAGACATACTTGCGTCTATTGTAAGAAGTTGCATAGCAAGATTGGCTGTTTGCGTTTACTTCAATACTCAATATTTTAGATCTTAGCAGGAAAATAATTCAAGGTTCAGAAAATGTTACGGCTATACTAATTGACTTCTGGAATCATAGCTTTAGATTATCATTACATCAACCTGAGTATCTGTTGGCGTATTCAATGTATGATGCATTTCATTGCATTCTACTCGTTTTAACATCAATTTCATCAGGTTTTCTAGTTTGACTAAATTTTTTTCAATTTCAAATGTAAAGTTTTAGCATTTTCTTTGAATTTTTCGTTGATGTCCTTGCTTAAGTATTCAAGATTTTGTTGTTGTTTTTTTCTTAGAAAACCTATATTTCATACATATAACTTCTCAAAAAAAAAAAATCAAAACAAATTGAAATATGAAAAAAAAATTAACTATATCTTACAAAAAAAGATCTAGAAACGTTTCTACATTTTACTGTTCTCTTTAAAAGAAACATTACTGTTGTTGATGGTTATTACAGTATTGTTTAAACAAAATAATAAGTGATTGTATTTGTGATTGATGCATTGGTGAAAGAAGTGGAGATTGTTCTAATAAAAGCTTCATATCATTAATCCATTTCGGAAATGTACGAGCTAATCTTTCACAATGACGAAAAAGAAAAAGATAGAACCAATGTTCTGAAATAATTGATGTTGATGGAAAATTTTTTTGAATACAAAGTAAATATTCTTTTTCAGCACGACAACGACATGCTAAAAATGAATTATCGAATGAGGAAATCATTTCACGAATTATTGTTTCTTCTTCATATGATGTTAATGGATGAAAACAAACAGATGATGTATGTTTTAAAGATGATTGTGTTTCATTATTCTCTGTAGACACATCTGATAAACAAATTATATCATCCTAAAAACAAAAATACAAACAATATTTTTATCTTGATTAGAAATATTCGTTTCTTGTTTTTATGTACTAATTCATCTGGGTTTGTACTAAATAATTGTAAAATTTCTTCAGTATCATTTTCTTGATCTTTAATTAGAATTGATTTATCTTCTTCAATGTTAGTTTCTTTTGTAGGTACTTCACTAATTAATTCTGGTTGATTAATGTCATCCCAATACCACCATTCATTTTTTAGAATGGTAATACGTTTTCGTAATGAAAGTTTCGATAATTTAATTGTTTGTTTAATAGCAATATTTAAATTGGATTTATCTTTTAATGTTAATCTTTGTTCTTCTCGTGATTTACTTTTCATCTAAATATTCAAAAAAAAAAATTATTGTTTTCTTTGAATGTATTTTTTAACTTTACGACGCCATTTTCTACGTTGTCTACTAAATTTTTCTGGTCCAATAAATGGTAAAACACGTGTCGTTTGAATCCAACTTCGTTCAGCAGTTTCACCGAAAAAGAAAACATGCACATAAGTAGATTTTCCTACAATGAATTTATTTCGAGAGAAACAAATTAGAATGAAATCTTTGATTTGTTTCTCTAGAATTTTGTACCTTTATGACGAATCCAATCTTGATTTTCTTCAGTAAATATAACAGCAGGCCAAAATGGTGCTGATGCCAATTTTGCCCACACAAGTTGTCCGAAATGAAATGAAGTAGACGATGCTAAATTGACAATAGAATCAATCTTGATTAGTAGCACTAAGTTTATAATGATTTTGCAATCTTTTATCTCGATATAGAGACAGAAATAGCAGAGACTTCGAGCTTGAGGTCCACTGTTTCCCTCTTGCTCGATATGCATCCATTTCAAAAGTTTTTGGTCAAATCAGATTTTATTCAACTTAGTGATTTTGTATCGCTGTATCATGACTGTTAGGACTAAATTCTGCCGAAGAAAATAAATCATTGTTGAGACTTTTATTCTGTATTATTTTAACCTTGAATTCGTTAGCATTTAAACGAAAAACAGTTTTTTTTCACTTAATATGTTTATTCTATCAAACATCAATTGTCAATGATCTACAAAGAAGATCGATGAAGTATCGATCTCTTATTTTTATTACATAATCTTTATTATCCAACATTGTGGAAATTTCTGCAAAATGATATGCATAATCGAGAAAAATAGACTCATGAAATCGATCAAAATCTGTTACTTCTTACTGTCTGATGGATCTCTTGTTAATTCATGCTTTGAAGTCATTCTTTTGATCTAAAATATAGAACATTAGATATTATGAATCATATATTTTAATTCAGATAAGATAGAAAGTAGCCAAAAAAAGAATATGAAACAGATAGTATCAAAGGAAAAAAAAATGAAATACGAGCAAATCGTATCAAGAAAGAGATCGTATATACATTATCAGTAAATAAAAGAAGAAAAAAAAACAAATCAATCAGTCTTGATTATCAAATAGAACATTGAGTGAATCGACAATCTAAAACAAAATTTAGCATAAATATTATATAAAATATTATATTGATTAAAATGATAAGAACAGAATACGTTTTATTTTTTCTTCTGTGATGCTAAGTAAAATTCAAATAGTAATTTGGATTACCAAAAAAAATTCTCTATCAGATGCACTACATATCAAGGTTTTCTTTTTCGACTTTGCTGGAAAGAATTTAAAAAAAACTCAAACACAGTAGTTTTCATGTCTCAAAAATGTCGTAGAAGTTCACTTTTAGCATTACCATATGAAAGAACAATAAAATTCTGAACAATATGACGTATCGCCACATTTTCTACGAAAAAATCCAACAATCTTTCATATCATTCACAATTTTATGTTCCTTCAGATGGTATTTTTAGAAACGAACTTTCACAGCGCCGCAAAGGATCTGAAAACTAACGTGTTTAGTTTTTTAGAGCACTTTTTCTTATAGTCCAACAATAAAATTTTGATATCGGTTTCACAGAAAAAAATCCAAAATCTTTGTTCTTATCATTTTCAGTAGTACTATAGATTTGACATCTGTAACTAACCTCTTTTTTCGTCATTGAATTAATATCAATATTTCGATCGAACGTTTCTAAGGCATTCATCCATGATGATGAATCCTTTTTAACATTGATATTCAATTCATTTGAAATAACAAGAATTCCATTGTCATTGATTATCTTTAATAAACGATAAATTCATTAAGAAATAAAGATTATCAATTGAACTTACTGAAAAATCATCGGTAACATAACTGAGAATTGTTCCCAATCGTCGATGAAGCATTGTATCATCAATTTTACGTACTTTCGCTAAAAAAATAAAACACGATAAAATATGTAAAGTTTTTATTTAATCACAAACCAATTTCATGAAGTGGTTGTTCAGATAATCGTTTTCTTTTCGGTCGACGACATTGATTTTCAATTTGAGCTAAAATCTAAAAGATAATGAGTCAAAAAAACACAACACTATTCAAAGTATTCAAATTATTTACTTCTTCATCAACAGTATCAAGTTTTTCATCATTATTTAATTCTTCGTGTGATATTGATGGTTCAAGTTGAAAACTTGTTTGTATACATTCATCAATACGTGGTAAAGTTATTTTATTTATTGTTGGATGTATTGATGGCATTGATTTAGATTTAACAAGAAATAATTCTTGTTTAAGACGTGCATTTTCTTCACGTAATTCATCAATTTCATGTCGTAAATGTGGAGTTTTTATTCGAGGTACATTAGTTATTGTTGAAGCAAGGCCAGCATAACGTAATGTATTAATAGTTTCATCAATAACAGTCGATGATGGACTAATTGTTGCTAACATAAATGTCTTTGCATCGCCACCAAGACTATTTTTTAATAGATAAGTTAAATTTGAATCACGATAAGGAATATGACTTTGTTGACGAGATAATGCATCAATTACATTACGAAGTGTCGATAACGATTGATTGATATGAACACTTTCCTATGATAAAGAAGAGTTTTCTTTATGATACTATTATTATTCAATTTTTATTTATGCAACATAGTGTCAGCTCGTTCATACATATACTCTAGTTTAATGCTTAATTCTTTTTGAAATAATTCTTATCTTATTAGGTACACCATATTCATTCAGATTAGAAACCACTGGAAGAGACTCGTGCTCATATGTCTTTCTTCTTGAGTTATTGGCTATTATAGTGAGTTTTTCAACAAGATGCTGTACTCTCTTATATATTCTTTTCTAAACTGTCCTTCGAATTCAAACATTGTGTGTAAATAAAGTTCTCAATGCGATTAGTTTATTGTGAATGTGTCCGACTTTCTAGTCTCTTGTTTTGTCACATGCCAATATTAGCAATTCTATCATGCAAAAAATGAACGTTTGTTGTTGCATTAATAAGTCAGGAAATGAGATACTAGAAACTTTGAACACAAGAGTCCATGTGGAACTTGATCTGAAAGAGACCACGATATTTCACTGGCCAACTCACGTAAATGATCGTATTATATAGGCATGCATCTTTCTATGAATATCTCTAGTCTCAATAAGGTCCATCTAATGACATTAGAATTGTTTCAAAGGCAACTTCTCAATTGGCGAGGCTCTTGGTGAGAACAAACTCATGACGGTGTGAATCTTTTTGAAACAGTCAATCGCGAGTTTTTTAATTTCTCAACAAATAATTCGAAATCATTTTTTTTTTGTATCACAATGCTCTAAGCTATCGGAGAGAGTTGTAGGATTTTCGTTCGAGCGTTGTTACAAAGTTCCATATGATTGGCAATGCATTCCACAAAATGACAATTTTGAAGTGAAAACTTAGTTTCTTTTTTTTCAAGATAATTAGAAAAAACGAGACTATTAGTCATGAAATAATAAAAATGAGTTCCAGCAGTAACAATGAGCGTTTATTTCATCAAATGTTGCTACTCTATTTTGAATTTTTCATCATATTGAAGATCTTCTTGATATCTACGTTCTATTTTGCTCAATGATACGATATCCGAATAAATTGGAGATGAGAAAATCAATGAAAACTTGGTTAAGAACTCTTATGTATCAGAGTATTATAAACTTCATCAATATTTTTTCGCAGAATATCTATTGATTTTCAATTCGTACAAAATATCAAAAGATTTTTTTTCGCCTAATTTAACTTTTTTGACTGATTTGAAAATTTTATAAGCTCATAAACAACGACAGCAGATTAACAATGAGCTTCGCGCCACGGACTTATTTTATATGTTGTGCCTCCTAGTTTTGTCTTCTCAATGCATTGTTCATTGTCATTAATAGCGAATAAAAAGTGAAACTAACCAACAATAAAAGAAAATATCTTCGCTCATCTTTACACATGACAATGTTTTCATTGCAAACTACAATCTTGTCTCTATAAGACTAAGAAACATCAGTAAGGTTTGTGTTTATTTTTATTCATACCGCAAATCGATCATTTTTCCCTTGAGTTCCATTATATTGTTGTGACTTTTCACTACCAGCTAAGTCAACAAAATTTAATCGTACAGCTTGTGCATCTAATTCATCTTGTGCTTGTTGTTTTGCACTTTTCTTTGATGAACTAGATAATGTTGAATGTTTTCCAATATTTGATAAAGAATGAGCTGTATTTAATCCAAATGATAAACGCATATTTGTTGATTGTGGTATATCAATACGACTTATTTTAACAGTAAATATAGCGTGAGATCTTGATGATCGTTGATTAGCATTTGTTGATGCAACTGAACGTTGTTGATTACCCAAATTTAAAACATTTTGAAAATCTTCTTTACTTTTAACTTGAATGTATTTTAAATCAGGAACATATGGACCAAGTGAAGGATGTTCACGAATTTCAAGTGTACGTGTTGAAGTATTTGTTGTATTTGAATTTGGTACAAGTTTATTAAAAATATGTGTACGTGCTTGTTTAGAGAAAGATAATGTTGTTGAAGATTTAGTGGATGATTTTTGATTTGAATGTTCATTTGATGTTGTTGGTATTGCAAGTAAATCTGTTACTTTTTCATTATAAATTTCAAGAAAACTTAATTCAAATTTTAAATGATTATTTCCATTCATTGTTATTAAATCATGAATACTTAATGATAATATGCCTTCTTCACATGATGAACCAAATATTGAATGTGATTTGCCTTTGAAAAAAAAAACTTAAAGAATTCGCTTTTTATATAAATCAAAATACCTGATGCTGTTTGACCATAGGCTAAAACAGTTGTATTGTATCCTAAATAATGATAAATGAATATTTCTTTATTGAATTTAAACAAATAGAGAAAAATATTTTATCGAATACCTTGTAAAGAAGCAAGAACAGCTGATCGAATTATTCCATCATAAACATTTTTCTAAATAATAAAAAAAAATAAATGTTTCTCAAAAACAGTGTTTGATCTAATATAAGGATAATGCTTCCTCGAAGATAGAGTTAGCCACTTTCGAACTTTAAAATCGTCTCGTTGAGACAGAACAACCGAAATGAAACACTACTTAAACAGAAACAATTTCAAATTTATTTTCTATTTACATTTTTTGCAGAAGCATCGAAACAATGTGTAAATTTAAATATTTGTGGTCGACTATTTTGTGTACAAATAACATTATTTTCAAAGATTTGTACAGCTGGTGTATCATCAATAGCAGATTCTCTATATGAAAAATAAAAACAAATGAATTTTATATTAAAATAAAATTGAATAATAAACCGTTCGAGAAATGGACGTAATCGAATACCAGTAACAATAGGATCACCTTTAGTAAGTTTTTTTCCTGGTGTACGTGGAGACGACGTAACAGTAGATGATAGAGATGTGAATTGATCATCTATGAATATTTATTAATAAAATAAAAACAATGAAATTTTTATTTTCAAAAAAAAAAAAAATAATTACGAGTTGTCAAAGTTGATGTTCGCAGTTGATTTAAACGATGTGCCATGATTATAAGAAACAGAATGTGTTCAAAACGATCTAAAATCGCAGTTCATATGAAAATCAATATCGGTTTTTGGTTTTGAAAAACAAAAAAAAAAGAAGTATTTTATTTTTTTCTTCGACATTCATAGACAATATACTTTGCCGCCGTACAACTATCGAATAAGCGAAACAGTGAGGAACGAAAGAATGAACAGATCGAGCGTTAACGTCGATGTATTCTCAATCAAATCAAATTTTTAAAATATGAGATAGATGCCGCTTATGAGCAATTTGGTCTTTGTTATTTCAATATGATCGAAATCGAATGATTACTTTTTTTTTTCTACTAACTGTAATAAACAAAATTAAATATTAATCATTCTTTAAAAGATCTTTTCAGTAGAAGCATAATGCAACAATTTGTAATTAAACATAAGACAAATATATCGCATTCGAAATTGAGTTATGATGTTTGTCTTTGTTCAATTGATTTGATAGTTAAAAAAACTATATTTCAAATTCCCTTGTTTGTTTGATAAAAAAAAAAAACATTTTCAAAAAAATACGATAAAAAATGATTTCTTTAATTTAATTATATCAAGACAGTTAGCAGTCGACCCAAGTCTTTTTAAAGACAACTCACCCTATCGATTGAACCAAGTGAAGCATTTAGCGAGCAAGATGCAGATCAACGAGCTGCATCGAGCGCACTACATAACTTAGTTGATGCAATCCATGGGGTGCATCATTTGTGGAAAAAAACTCGAATGGACTGCTAACTTCTTTTATCCTATTTTCATTTATTATCATCATTGGTATTTGCATGTATTTTTATTTAATATTCTTGTTACGGACGTTGCAAAGTCATCAAGATTGTGGAGAAGGGGGAATTGATTTTTTGGAGGGATTATTAAGAAAAAAAAATGAAGAAAAGTATTCAGTTTCAGTGAAAGAAAATAAAAATTCTATAAGATTGAGGGTTATTTCCCACATAAAACAACTCTGATGCCTGTTATATTGATATGCAAGTTGGTATTTGTAATTAACGATTATTACGCTTAACAAACACCAATATTATCTTATCAGAATCATAAAATGGATTTGTATTGGAGAGAAATGAATTATTTTTGTTCATACTTGTATTTATATCTGTCCATTTGAATAGTTTTAGCAAAATAGCAGTGCCTTTGAATAGAGTTATTGCTTATCAAAATCTTCTTTTAATTTATTTTTTTCTATCCAAAAAAAGATGGATTTTTCTTCATGCTTTCGAAAATATTCCAAAAAAAAAAAGGAAAATTTATTATCGTTGATCAATGTTTTCTTTGGTCAATATTTTATTTACTAATTACTAAACAAATGATTGCTTAGAATATCAATAGATCATTTTTTCTGATCGATATTTACATTAATTTGCATGGATCATTGTCAATTTTTTTCAATATGCACTTAATATTGTCGACAGCTTTGAATAATATCTTGTTTTTTGCTGATAGATCATATAGTAGGCGTAAGATAAATATGACTAAAAAAGCTAAAACTCGACAAATCTGATAGACATATCTGACAAAACTTTTAAAGCTTTTCTAATGTTGACTGAAGAAATGAAATATTTGTAATTATTTAACAACAAGATCAATATGTTCTTAATTTGATTTATACAATTCATTAAGATCAACAAAGATATTGTTATCTTTGAATATTTATGAGTACAATGTTCACGTCTTACACATAGAAGATGAAAGTGAAAGCAATTAAACGAAAATTAGTCACATATGGTAAAGATTTCATAATTATTGTCATTGATGGAGCTCATCTGTTTTCTTATTTTGTAGGTCTATATCTTCTTTCGAAACGAGTCGACGAACAGTTATACTATCTTTATTTTCATCATTTTTCTATCAGTAAATCATCAAAATTACAAATACTAATATGAGATTTAATGGTAATTCTTACTGCAAATGAATCAAAAAAGGAATGGTGACTAGCATAGGTAAATATATGAGTAGAAAAAAATTCTTTTTCTTTCTAATTTTCTTCATGAGAGATATCTATTTTGCTTGATTTTCTCTCATGGATGTTGAGTTTAATATCTTTTTGACATCTGACTATTGTGTCTGGGAATGTACATGTTTAAAAATAAATAGAAAAACTCAAGAAATTCGACTAACCCTAATCTACATGAAATCACTGCTGATATCGATGATGAAATGATGCAATATTCACATAACTGTAATTTCGTCTTTTTCTTTAGAAAACTTTTGTTCATTTATAGACTGATTAGAATGGTTGATAGTAAAGTGCAAATGTTTTACAACAGGAAAACAGATAACATATTTCAAAAATTGTCAAAATAAGGGCAATCAGATTACATTACATTTTATGATACATCTCAAAAACATGTTTAGCTGTAAAAAGTTCTTTTCTGCTCTTACACGAAATCTTTTCGATATCTAAAGAGTAAAGTATCAAATTATTTGGTCGTAGATGATAGAATTATCGTTTTATGTTTGCGGTGTAGATTCAAAGCATTATTTGAAAAATGTATTCTCTACGATAACTTATCATCTACAACCGAACATAAGAATGTAATAGTGATTTTTATATTATAATTATTCATTATGTAGCTCTCCTTATTGGAATAAGGAGCGATAGTTTTTATTCCAAGTTGCCAAACAATTTATCAACAAAACAAAAGAGGTAATTTTCTTCAAACTTTTTTGTTTTTATCTATGTTGAACGTGAGCCAATCATTTGAAAAATTTGCACACACTTAGTTTTTAGAATTTTATCATTGTTTCTATAGTTCATTGCAACTGATTTTATTAACATATTCATTTTTCTTTCATGATGATTAACGGATAAGGCATGATAGAATATGAAACAGTAAAAGTAAAATTATAAATTACATAATTTTGTTTCTTTTAAGGATTTTTACCGGTCACGATGCGTAATATATTAACTGATTGTACGAGTATTAAAATTTTTTTTCATATAAGCATTTTTTCTATAATTTAGTCCAAATTTTTTAAAATTATAAACTAAAAAGAGATGACACAGAGAAAAAAAGTTAGTTCAAATTTATTAAATGTAAACACAAAGTACAAATCTTTGTGGAAAGTAACTGAAAATAAAATATCGATATATCGTATTAATACTGTGAAATATTGATAGAAAATTTCATGAAAAAAAGACGATTATATGTAATTTTTCCTAGAAAATTCTAAGTTAGATATTATAGATTTACTTTATATATCGAATCCATGTTCTATTTGTCAAAGTATTGGTTTTTCTAATGACATATTTTATTTTAAAACTAAAATGTAATTTTAAACCAACTTTTTTTCTCAGTTACATGAGAACACAAAAGTATCTTTTGATAATTTATTAACAGAAGTCAAGCAGTCAGGTCAAAAAATAGGACTTAGTTCAAACCGACAAAGCGCAGAAAACAGTAAGAAATCAGAAGTAGGGATCTTGAGGCTTGTTCTGTCCGGTTTCGACTGGAACTACAAAAATTCCATCATCGAATTCAGTCAGCGTGTTACTGTTTCAAAGCTTCTATCATTTTTTTTCTACCTTTTCGGTAGGAAATCCACAGATTCGGTCGCTGAAATCATTGACCTGGACAGAATTGTTCTATTTAGTTGAACTGCTTTATGTCAAGCTCATTGTACTTATGTTAAATTCATTCAATTAGAAATTTTTTAGGAAAATCATTTTTTTAATTTAAAACAATGAACAACACGAATAATTAGAAAAACATATGAGCAATCATAGATAACCTTGATATTGTTTTGATATATAAATATACTGTGACAACAGTAGAACAGTTCTATTCAACCAGATTCTGTTGGCCAAAAAGAATTCATCACAAGGGTAAAATTTACTGAATAATTTTCCAAAGTATTTATCAATTACTCTAGAGAGATAAAACAAAGACTTCAATGAAATACAGATGTAAAAACTAGGCATTACACTCAAACCAAACATTTCATTTATATATATCTGATAAAAATATTCGTTAACAGGCAGCTCTAGTTTTCTCATGAGAAGTATAAAAAAAAGTAATAATATTCATCTCTTAAGCTCATCCGAGAGTCCCTGGACTGAAATAAGGGAAAAGTTATTTAGTGCATTTCCAAACAGATTGAATAAAAGCTATTTTTTAGTATGAATTCAAATAATATTGTGAAACAAAGAAATATTTTTGTACACAATTTTTTATCAAATACAATGTAAATGTGCACTCTATTTTTGTAAGTAACATCCATCAAAGTATATAGATTAATATTTGTTATATAATGTCGAAAGACAAAATCAAGTATTCATTATATTGTCTGCACAAAGATGTCAAGCTAACAATTACATAGAGCTAGATAAACGACTAATGTACACACAATCACTTCTTAATCTGGCATCAGCAAGAAAATAAAATTTATCAAACATTTTACTTCAGTAGAAATACACAACAGCTAAAGATTTTACTACTTGATTCCAAATCAATATCAATAAAAATTTATTAGAATTGTCATTTTTATCTTCTATTTGAATATGTAGGTTTAGATAATTATCAAAAAAATATAATAAATCAATTCTATAAATATTTTAAGAATATATTTTCAGATCGAATGCATTGGAATAGGTCATTTTGACTCAGATCATTTTCAAAAATTCTATTTTTACTTCATTATTGATTAAATTTTATTTGAGTTCTAATCATTTGAAATAGTCAAAAGACAAAAACCTAAAATATTTCTTCATCGATATTATGAAAAAGTTCAATTAACAACAATCTATCCATATAAGACTAGAAGAGAAGAAAGTGAACATTAATGCAGTAGTAAAATTGATCAAACGAAGTCTCACTATACACTTTATCTTTCATTCACATTGATACAAAACAAACTTTTTCGGTGAGAAAAAAAAGAGTTAATTTTATCGACAAAGTTCACTGCGTACATGTTGCTTTTGCGAACAACTATGTAAAACCAGCCTACAAATTGGATGTCTCAAGGATGT